GCTACACAGCTGTTCAGTCCCAATTCCTTGAGTTCCCTTCACATTGTGCAGGTGGAAATACTCTCTTTCACTATTTAACATTGCCCTGAGTGCTACTGTTGTTTTTCTTCCATTTGATTTCACCAAATGTTTAAGGGATCGCCGATCATGATTATTCAGGATTTTTTCCCAGCCACATTTTTTCCTCGAAGACGATGGGTCCCCACTATCCTTCCAGTTTTTAATAATGTGTTGGACAGTTCTTAACGCAATTTTAGTAGTTCCTACAATCTCCTTAGATGTTTTCTCTGCTTGATGCCAATGATTTGACCTTTCTCAAACCGACTGACATCTTTTCCACGACCAAGTGATGTGTCTTTGACATGGTTGTTGAAGAAATGAGAAGCAACTTATTGCACCAGTTGGGGTTAAATAACTTGTTACAGCTGAAAGATAATCGTCCATTCAGTAATTATCCAATAAGAAGCTCATACCTATTTGCTTAGTTAAATCCAGGTGGTGACTTTTTTGGGGGGGCCAGGTAGTGTAGATAGCATAAATTTGCAAAAACCTTTCCCTCCATTTCAGCAGAAAGCAGCAGCAGACAGCACTATTGGCTTCTGGGATATCGATGTATTCTTGTGTGTGATGAAGCAGTGTTTTGTGTTCCAGGTGACTATCTAGGTGGGGAGGCGTACTGGGCAGGCGGTCTGCACCTCTACACCCCTCTACCATTCAGACCTGGCAAAGGAGGTTTCGGAGACCTTTTTAGAATGCACTTCTTTCTCAACGCTGGCAACCTCTGCAATCTCAACTATGGTGGGTGGAGGTGACGTGATACAGAACACACAGATGAGCCTGGACGTTTGGTCACATCTTGATGTTGTCTCCTACATGTTATGTTCATAGGACTGTAGAGCATGAGATCCAATACAATGAATAAACATTTGGTCAGTTTGTTTCTGCAGTTTATAAAAATATTTAAAAAATATAAACTATCTAATATAATTCTTAAGCACAGCCTCTTCACGCAGCTGCACAATTTGTAAAGTGTGTCTGTTTCTGCAGGTAGTGGTCCCCAGGCCCACCTCCAGAAACTGGCGGAGTGTATCCGCTGGTCATACGGAGCAGGTATTGTGCTCCGGCTCGGAAACATCGCCCGGCTAGAGCTTAACTACTGCGTACCGATGGGTGTTCAGAGTGGAGACAGGTATGTTTTAGATCCACTGATGTAATGTATGACAGCCTTGAACAAAAATACTAGTGTCATGGTATAAAAACAAGAATTCAAAAATGCATTGCATTATATAAACTATTGTTCTTTCATTAAAATCTGTCATGATGTCACTGAGTGAGTGCAGCTACTGCAAGCGCTCTCAGGACATTATTACCTGTAGTGTTCCCTCAGTGAGAATTGAACTAGGCAAGAGGGCCTTCTCCTACTTTGTTCCTGTTTCCTGGAATATCTTCAACTCAATTTCAGTTCAGTTCACAGACCCTTTCCAAAAAACTAGAATATCATGGAAAAGTTGTTTAACTTCCATAATTCCATTAAAAAAAATAATGTTTAATAGATGATAGATTCAGGGCCCACAATTTAAACGATTTAAAGTATTTATTTGTTTATTTTTACATAATTTGGGCTTCCAGCTCATGACAACCACGAAAACAGGATTTCAAAAAAATTTGAACACTGTGGAGAAATCAGCCCAAATGTTGCAGGGCATGAATGTTTTAAACTGAGTGTGACACACTAATCATTTACTAAACTCAAAGCACCTGCACAGGTTTCCCCAGGTGTCATTAAATTGCTTCAGTTTGGTTTAATTGTCTCAGTTTGGTTCAATATGAGGAATACTGACCAGGAGACCATCATTGATACCCTCCATAGGATGGGTAAGACTCAAAAGTTCATAACTAAGGAGGCTGGCTGTTCACAGAGTGCTGTGTCCAAGCATATCAATGGAAAGTCTAATGGAAGAGAAAAATGTGGAAGGAGAAGATTCACCAGCAAAATATATGACCGTGGGCTTCAGCAGATTATCAAACAGAGAAGATTCCAGAATCTGGCAGAGATCCAGAAAGAGCGGAATGAGGGGGGAGTCACAGCTTCAAAAACCACCACATTCAGACGCATCTGGGAGATGGACTACAACTGCCGGGTTCCTTGGTCCTCTTTTCGATGAAAGTAAAGTGTGCCTTTCATTCAGAAATCAAGGTCCAAGGGTTCGGAGGCAGAAGGGTGAGGAACAGAGCCCATACTGCTTGAGGTCCAGTGTGAAATATCCACAGTCAGTCATGATTTGGGGTGCAATGTCCGGTGCAGGTGTTGGTAAACTCTGCTTTCTTAAATCCAAGGTCACCGCAACAGTCTACCAGAATGTTTTAGAGGACTTCATGATTTCTTCTGCTGACGATCTATATGGAGATGCAGATTTCATCTTCCAGCAGGACCTGGCCCCTGCCCATGCCGCCAGAAGCACCAAAACCTGGTCTGATGCCCATGCCACAGTGCTTGACTGGCCAGCCAACTCGCCGGACCTAAACCCCATTGAGAATCTATGGAGTATTCTCAAGAGGAAAATGAGGGGCACCAGACCCAACATCAAAGAAGAGCTGACAGCAAGCATCAAGGAAATCTGGGCTTCCATAACTCCCAGTCAATGCCACAGGCTGATTGCCTCAATGCCACGTTGCATCGAGTCAGTGATTAAGACAAAGGGATTCACAACCAAGTACTGAAGATTGACATTCATTTTGAAAGTACCATATTTGGATTGATTTGTTGTGATCCTAATTTCTTTATTTTTTTTCTGCAAAAACTGAGAAGTAGTGTGGACTGATATCTTTACAGTTTTCTATTTTTTTTGGAAAGGGACTGTGTATGTATGTA